GACATTTGACTCAGATCAGAGCTTCATAGACACTTCGAAATGGATATCTGTAAATGGGTAGAAATCGATAAAATAAATGAACTAAAGTACATAAACGATTTCAACAACTTAAATTATTTTTTAATATGCAAATAGCGGGCAGACCTGCCATTTAGTCAATAGCTTAAAACTAAAATAAACTTAAAAAAATGGTTCTTAGAACTTTTTATTTATGAAAATTAATTCGACAGTTCTTAGAAGCTATCTTGAATAATTTTACTGGACTGTGTTTTAATAAACTTGTTTAAAAAAACAGTCTATTCCTTCTAAAACGAAATGTAAAGTCAAGGGGGAAAGTGCATCGAAACAAACAAGTTTTGAATAAGCAACGTCAAAGTATTATTAAATAATATTGGCGCGTTCCTAATTTCTATAGGTTAGTGTTATCTTTGTTTAAAACCGTTACTTTATTTGTTATTTTCATTTATTTGTGTTAGAACGATTTGTCCCTGAAACTTTGTCATTTTGTGTAATAACAAAATTAATAGTTCACTAGATAAAAATGCTTTTATTTCTGGAACATCACATATAGTAGTCATTGTTAGTTCTTAATAATTTAAATAAATGATCATTGTCCATCCCTCTAAGCCGCAATACAATTAATTACTGTTATTTTACTCAATGAAATTTTAGTTATCAAATCTAAATTTTACCTATTAGCACTCAAATATAACTTTAAACTCCTAAATTGTGCTTAATTGCCTAATACAGCATAGAGAAACATACTTCCTTTTATTTTCATGAAGGTAAGGTCCACCTAAGTACATAAAGAAAGATTTAAGCTAAGGAAAGTGGTTACGTCGCACAAATAACATGGCAGACTGTACGCGGAGCCAAGTACTTGCAGTCATTAATTACGAATGTTCAGTAATCGTAAATATTTATACCGCTCAATAGTGTACAACCGTTTTTATTACTCTTTAGGGCTGCCATTTGCAAAAGAGTGTAGAAAGTTACATACTTTCTTTGTTCACTATTTCCAAGTGTAGAAAAGCTATGACTTAGGTAATTAGGTATTACAAAGAGTTTCATATATAACAAGCAGTTTTAAATTTTTTATTTTTTTTTTAAACTTTATGCACTTTTGTACATCGGCGGACTTAATGCCCAAGGCATTCTCTTCCAGCCAACCTTTGGGTGGTGTAGGAATCATATAAGATAGGTGCTGTACACACAGGTTACATATTATGTGTACCTACATGTAATCAAAATCAAATATATACAGTTCACTACATACATACACATATTTGACTTTTTTCATTTAGTTCAGATTCACTATTTATGCCACGTATTCCTACATAATCATGCAAACTATCCTTAATTTTTTTTTTTTGTTTATTCAGGATAATAATACAAATTTACAAGTACCTCTTTACTACTGCCAAACTACAAAGCAGTTTGTTGGCAGTTGTAGCTAACCTTTAGTATTAATACCTATAATTTATCGTTCCTCCTATCTCTATGTCTTGTCAAAACGAAATTAAGAGAGCGTCTCTAAAGTGCCTGTAATATGATAACAGGACAGTTTTGTTTACAGCTTTGGTTAATAGTCACTTAATGCTCGTTTTCCATTTGCCTCGAGGATAGTACACTCGTAGTTACATTATTTAACATAATTATCTAAGTACTTTACATAATTATTGCAAATTCATGTAGAAAGGGGCTGTTGTGATCAAATCTTAGCGTTTTTATAGTTATGTACGACATTTTATGTTACTTTCACGTCTGCAGCAGCGGTTTATTACACCCCCTAGTTATATCATGTATACGTGTTTTAAGCATCATTAACTTATATTTTATTGGTAATTGTCAAGCTGAAGTGGCTTTATAACAAAACTTAAACTGTAATTTTAAAATTTGAATTGATATGATATCAAAGATATGATATCAAATCAGAAAGCTTTTCTTTTCAGTTTGGTATTTAACTTTTTAGTTATTAGCAGCTTTCGACAACTTTACTTATGCATAGAGTTACAATTTCATAAAAATCGTAAAAATTAAAAATGTTAGGAATGTTGTAGAAGTACGACAATCACCAATAAACTGGCGTAGTGGTTTAAGCGGTCACCTCGCCGCTTCCTACCGCGCTGAATGTTGTGGGTTCGTTCCCCACGTTGGTCAATACTTTGTGTGATCCACAATATGTTGTTCTGAGTCTGGGTGTTCTTTGTAACCGTTTCATTAACGTTTGTAACTTTCACACACGATATATTATTATTCCGGGAATTGTCTTGATAAAAAAAAAACTGCGTAATTCATGGTTAAACATTAATGTCTAGCAAGCTTTATAATAATGCAATCAATTCACACCTTTTTTGTCTTACTTTCACAGATCAATGATGCTGGTGCCAAAACTTTTATTCTCTATTGATTTTATTATCTATCAACCCTAGGTAACATTGCAATAATATATCATGTATTAGCTCCTGTCGTACAGTGATTAATTGCATATGTTATAGATATTGCTCATACGTCTAGTTCTAATATCATATCTTTCAACGAAGGTTAAAGATCAGCTTCTCGGCGAACTAATGAACATTAATAGGATTGTCTGTGCCGATTAGGAACTACTTTCTTATATTTATAGTGAGAAAGTGGGAGAAATGTTTTGTCTAACATAATGTACACGCTCGCACACTTGAGAAGGGCTGAAATGTTTCTTAAAATATGTAGATAATAAACAAATTGACTTAACTAAGTTTACCTCTTTAAGAAAATGTACATTGACAGCTGAATGGCGGAGAGAAAACGTTATCATCTTTGATGCGCTTTTTTCAAGACAAGTCCCTCCATTGCAGTTTTGTCTTAGACCGGAATGCCGACTTGAGAGTCAGTAAATCGTTTTAATCGTTTGCGTAATAAACTAAAATCAGTGCAGCAAAGAGCACACCGTGTTGGTTTTTTCTTACACCACTGTTTTTTAGCCCAAGTCCCTTACAATGTCAACAGCATACCTGTGTAACCTGTGAAAATAGAAATATTGGTTCTGGACCTACGGCGCCGGCGCGGTGACGCCATGGCTCAATACAAATAACGCGTCATTCGCATACAGCCGTCGCACCACCGCGAGCGATCGTGTCCCACTGCCACTGTAGATCCAAGATTTGCCGAATAAAGATAGGTTTTGTCTTTTTTTTCAGTTCTTAATCGTCGTAAAACAATAATTTTAGTCTCTAATTTGCGATTTCTAGTCCTAGACTTCTGTATTCGGGTTTTTTAACGCATTATAAATGTGTTTTTCGTCGCGAGTCTTTTACTTCAATAGCCAATCGCGAACAGCATCTGGTCCCAATTTATCCCTTTACAACTCGATTACTTTTTGGACGTCTGCAAAATTGCACAGTGTCTACTTAGACTTCTTCCTTCATACAAAATTCTCTTAAAAATGAAGTACCACCTCATGCGTTATTATAATAAGTAAAAAAGTTAAGACACGAAATTCGATATTTGAATTTTTTAAACCACTTTTAGTGATGACTGCAGAGAGTGGTAACAAGCCCTATAAATCCGGAAGGGCCGACACCAATTTGAAACAACTACTTTCTGGTAACTTTATATCATATATGGCTTCAAACCCGTTTTCTTACAGCAATGTTATAGTTTATAGAAATACTTTTATTAATGAAAATGCTTTGGGCCTCTTAATCTTAAAGTGGTTGATTATCATCATCATATTTGCTCTCTGCTAGATCGATATTAATTGATCGAATTATTTTTGAGCTTGACTTTGAGGTGTATTTATAAAAAATATTTTTTTCTCTATAGGCTAAGTTTATCATAAATACTTTTATATTCGCATACAAGTAGGCATAAAAAACAAGCACATGCGGAAAGAATGGCACAAATCAGGTTACATCCAGTTTTATACAATCCCTTAATCCGTGTCATTCGATACCAATGCACCATGGGGCTTCTCGCAACACTGACTCACACTGACACGTGCTCACCTCCGCACGGTATACTCGTACGTACGTCACGATTCTTTTATTTACGAAACAAATCAAGTGGAAGAATAGAAATATAATATATATAACATACAATATACCAGCAGTTATCACATTTGACTAGGTGTTTCAAAACTTAGACAATGAGGGCCACTAAATTTAAAGCTTATTCTTAGAACTGTCTAGAATCTCAATTATTTTAACATACCGTCTCAGTTAGATTACAAGCTAAATATTAGCTTAAGTGCTTTTTAGTTTTAAATGAGTACTGTTTCAGTGGATGCCGACAAATGCAGTTTTTGATTACTCCAATAAAAATCTTATAAGGCCCAAGTAAAAACTTTTTCATCGTAATCATTAAGAAAATGCCTACCATTTTCTTATGTCATTTATTACATTGTTATGTAATTTTTCATATGAAAATGTTCTATTTTTCACTCTTATTACCCGTTAGTAATAACATGTGTTGCTAAGCCTAGCAGCAGAGATGAAGTGGTTCAATTTTTTTTTCTTTTAAAGTACAATTTACGAAACTAAAATTATTGCAATGGTTTCATTGGTCATAAATAAATTGTACTGCATTTGCTTATAAAACGTAGCTTGGAAGAAATTTAATATATGTATGTATGTAGATAATTTGTTGGGGGCTAGAAGTTAAGCCTATTTTTGCACGGATTCTATTTTTTAACACACGCCACGCCACACGCCAAAAGAATACCTCTTCTCATACTCCCATGAAATTTTTGCTACCGTGAAGTTGGGATATATAGAGACAGGTCAGGTATGGTCGAGATATATAGAGACAAGATATTATCGAACATAAATACAAAATATCTCCTAAATTTTAAGAGTAACAATTGAGATTGTCAGTTCTCTCCCATGCAAGCCTCGCCTTGCCAGCGCATAGCAGTTTAGTTTAACTATTTACATTTTATAATAGCTATTAAGGCAGACTTTAGGAGAAAATCTTGATCATGTTTAGTGTCGGTCTGTGACAGGATTTGCATCGTTTACACAATGATTATTGTACAAGTACGGAGCTGTAACGAGGTGTGGGCAGCGGTAATCAACATGCTTAACAAACTGTCGGTCGTGCTATTGGATTCGTTCAACCGAATACCTTCTTAATTCTTTGATTTATGAAAGCAACTAAGATCTTGATCTATTACATTTTATAATTTTTAAATAATAAAGTTTTTAAATGAATTTAGAAATTTCTTGCAAATATAAATTTGGGTAACTATATGTTTAATAAAGCAAAATATAGAATTGCACCTCTAGACAAAGAAGAACACACGGTTATTTGCACGATACCTATGCCTAAAAACTAGTTTTTTTTTGTCTGTCTGTCTTTCTGTTTCTTCCGGGTTATCTTCTAAACGGCTGGACCGAATTTGATAAAATTTTACTACCAGGTAGCTGTCTGTATAAGGAGTAAATTAGGCTATATTTCCTTTCAGAAAACCCCTTTAAAATTTTGCCCCGGTTCGGAAATTGAACCCACTAAGGCAGCGCTTTTCAAATTCCACGCGAACGAAGTCGCGGGTACTAGCTAGCTAGATATATAAATAGAAGAATGTAATAATATTAGAGATAGGTTAGGTATACCCATACTATAAAAAGTATACCCAATAATTTAAAAAAAAATAGATATTAAGAATCGTGTTTTTAAATATAAATAAGGGTAGACAGAGGTGCAAGACACATATATGTTTTTGCCAGTTAATGTTAAGTAAGTTAACATTAACTGGCAAAGTAAGTTAAGTTGTTAGAACTGCAGTATGCGAGTAGCATACTTGGCTTTTAAGTTAACAAAACCGAAAGTAGCCTTACCCTTGAATCGACAAGCCGGAGTGACGCATCGACGTAGTCGTTGTCATGTTACATTACTCATTTGGCCCTTCAATTTATTCTACATATACATAGGTTTCCTTATGAGAAGTACAGACGTACAGGTTGCCTTCATAAATTACTTCTGCCCGTGTTCACTGTCGGAATAGTAAGTTATAGCTAAAGATACATGGTACAGGGAACATACGTAAGTTAAGTAGTTGCCATACAGGCAACTTGTTAGTACGTACTAATGCTATTATTATTTTTTATAAATACCTGATCGATGACACGGCATGCGTATATTTTAGACTATAAGTTTCCGCTTTCCTACTGGTTACTAATATATACTACATTTATTGTGTTGAATTGAAACTATTTATGTCAATATAATTAATATCACGGTCTTCAGGCAAGTTACCCAACGAATATCAGAGTCTTATTTACCATCACGAAAGTGTGCTTGTACCACTGATGAACCCATGCTCTTTTACGATGGAAGACTCAGAATTTAATCATATTTATGGTTATGTTACAGCCCCCACCAGTAGTCCACGCGCCGTCGTTGGCGCTGCCGCCGCCCACCGCTACGCCTGCACTGCCCGCCTCGAACGCATCTGCGCCCCGTACCATCGTCATCCAGCGACCCGACGCCAGGCACGGGTTCGGATTTACTTTAAGACATCTTGTCGTTTATCCGCCAGAGTCGCTACAGGTAAGCATAGATAACATAAGTATATATTCGCTATTTTGCTTTTCTTTGTATACCTGTTCTTATAGAATTTGTAATTGATTATAAGTTCATGTTCATGTTGAGTTCATGATGGTATTTTATCTTGCGATTAAGGTCTGGATTAATTGCAATTTGTAATTCCAAGTAATAAGTACATATAATCCTGAAAGTTGAAAACAATAATCTAAATACTAGTAGGAAGCTAAAAACTAGTAGGAAATATAATTTTGCTTAGTTTTTATGGTATAAGTGGGCAAATGAACCTGTAATGTCAGGTGACATTACAGATGCATTTGCGTACCATCAGGTGATGGTATGTAACGACCGCCGACACATGGACACCTGCAACTCAAGAGCCACTAGTGCTGGGAGACTCCCCTCGAGTCAGGGAGAGAGGACGCTTAGGCTCTAGTTACTCCACTCACTCGGTGAAAAGGAACGAAAGAATTGATTAACACCTATTTTCTGTGAGGCCGTGGGATCACTCCGGTCGAGCCCACGAGTCCCACGGTAGTAGGAGTAGTAGGTAGTACTATAATACTAGTCAATCATACTAGTCGTACTACTGATTGAAATCATTGCTTGTCGACATTGTATCTATCACGTTAAATTACTCCTAATCATTGCCATCAGCAATACTAAGACAAGTCCTTCGACTGCTCATTCATGCATGCTTTAGATAAAATACAACTTAATAAAGTCTATTCATTTATGCTTGATAGTTTAGTATATACTGCATGCAATAGTTATTCGCATCGCTTAAGTCACTGTGCGGTGTAATAGCAAAAAAAAACAAATCTATGGGGTTATTCAAAAAGAAAATTAAGGGTTTTATAGACCCCTATATTAAAATTTTTATGTTTAGTTATTAAATAATTGAACGCTCTATATTCTAATTTAACAATTAGAATATAGAGAGTTCAATTCTCTACAAAAATATTTGATAAGCGTTGCAGTGCAATTTATCGTTCATTCATTATAAAAATCAGACTAAAATATATTTTTCCTAGTAATACTTATGGAAAATCGAAAAATGCGATGCGGACAACTTTAATATTAATATTCACATTTTAAAAGGCATATTTTGGCAACTAAACGAAACTTTTGAGCGTGGTTCCGAGACAAAAAAATACTTTTTTTTTTAAACGCCCTAATATATATAGTTTAGTAAAATAAAAAAGCGGGTAAAAAACTTTAATTAAGTAAATTTACTACAGGAAAATTTAGAATATTAAGTAGAAATGCTGGGGTTGGCTACACAAACTGCTTCCCGAATTCCAGGAACTTTACGATGATGCGCGTCTGCTGGCGGTTGGCGCAGTGGGCGCGCCAATGGACACGATCTTCGTGAGATCTGTGCGGCCGGGCGGGCCGGCGGCGGCGGCGGGGCTGCGCGCTGGTGACCGCGTACTCGCCGTGAACGGGGAGCCCGTCGCGTGCGGTCGGTCGAGGGCACCATATGCGAGAGTGGTTCAGCTGGCACAGAGAGAACCTAGGGTGCTGAGATTGACTGTAGTGCCGAGGGACCACGACTTGTTACAGAGAGTAAGTAGTTTCCTGATAAACTCTGTAGCTGTTTTTTTTTTCACATGTATGTTACGCAAGATTGAATTTTAAAATTATCTTTTACAGTACTTTAGTGAAGCAGCTTACAATCCTGAAACAAATCAACGCCCCATAGACATGCCTGCACCAGTTACGGAACATGAGTCACGTCTGTTCGATGCGTACAGGAGGCCTAGAGCGTCGCTTCCAGCACCGCAGGCTCCGGCAAGACATAGGGAAGATCCAGAATACGCGAGCGTCGCATCTCTGGCACCTTCCAGATATGATATGTCACGACTTTCAGGAACACCGCATTATTTAATGCATGATGGGTAAGTTGAAAATGTCGACAGGAAAATTAGTGTTGGACGACTTGGGAACCACTAACATCATCATATAGAAGGCTGCAATAAATCATTAATTGTGGCATTACGGTCGTATTTTAATACTGCAAACCCATATACATATATAAATATACGAACTACCATGCAAAGAAAACGCACACATTAAAGTTAAGATAGCTAGTGTGGTGTTTATAACAACTCGTCATATTTGACATAACTTCCGAAATGTAAATATGATTTAGCGAAATCTAACTGTTTTAACAAACACCTTTTTGTAATAATTACAGCAGAAGAGAATCTGACACCTCACTGCCTTCATCTGCAACGGAGAGTAAAGACAGCCTCGGATCCTTCGACTCGAACTCGACCCTAACGGGAAGAGAGCTAGACGACTCGATTATTCTATCACGAATACGAAAAAGTCTGGAACAGAAAGAGGCCTTTCTCCGACGGCCTAGCCAGCCCACTGGTTGGGTCACACCAGATGTTTCACCATCGATTAAACAAAAGGAGTTTTACGCTAGGCCACAGAAGTTGCAAAAACCAGCGTGGCCTCCTCCCGCGGCTTCTCCTCCACTTGCAGCGTCACCTCCCCCTCAACCACAACCTCAAGAACAAAGAAAAGAAGAATGTTCTGCAAGTGTCGATAGTGGAACTTATAGCGCATATGGAGAAGTCAACGGAGCTCAAGATAAAAATAGACAGAAACAGGATAAGGGTCAGTTTGTGTCGACACTATCTAAAATACAAGAGATGGCGCCTAGTATTCAGAGCACGAATCTTGGGACTGTCACTAATGGTTCGATGGAGATGAAAGAAGAAGGTGCTACTAATAATCAAGATAACAAGTAAGTTATTTATATTAAATAAAAATAACACTTTTCCTAGATACTAGTTTGCAGGCAGAACATAGTTGATCATCAAACCAAAATTCCCTCCACATAGAAAGTTGATGTTAAAATTATCTTAGAGACCTCGGGATAGGTTTGCCAATGTTAAGTGCTGCAATAACTCTTGCGAGGTATTATAACTGTGGATAACGATTTATCCACAGTCATGATACCTCGGTTTGGAATATTTTGGGACTATCATTGGATTAAAAGGTTTCAAGTAAAGTTACATATTAAAATGTTATATATCTATTACGTATTTTTTCAAGGGATCGGTTTTATCGGGTTTATTGAATAGATTTGTTTATACGAAAGTTGCAAACAGTTAACCCGTAGCGATGGTGGATGGCAGGTACCCGGTGTCGGAGCTGCAGCTGGTGACGGCGCGCACGCGGCAGCTGCAGGAGGCGCGCGGCGGCTGGGACCGGCGCACCGACAGCGCGCGCAGCGAGCTGGCGCGCCTCACCACCACGCGCCTCGAGCCCAGCGTGGCGCTGCGCCGCAAGGAGTTCGAGACGCGCACGCAGCGCCGGGACGCGCGCTCGCTCGACGTGCAGGCGCCACCCGGTACGCCCACCACTACCTACCGTGCTTGACATTGATGATCTGCCACGGCATTGAAAATAAATAAAATGTCAACTATAAATTCCCTGACTCGACTGACGAACAAATTAAATTCTTCTATAATCTAGAATTAAAGCTAATATACATCAAGTCACCTGTCTAATAAAGAAAACTAAATCAAAACCAGTTCATCCGTTAAAGAGCTGTGAGAGTACATCATCATCAACAATTATTTCAGATGATGTGAGAGTACAGACAGGCACACAAATACGCCGGTTAAATTTATAACACTTGCATCGGGCCGCCGCATGTTCAAAAAATATCTTTCTAAATGTGTGTGTTTCCTATGTATCTAGAAAGTATTCTCAACGACACCGAAGTCGTTCACAAAATTCACATAAACTTGGTGGGCGATTTCTGTAACGTTAAAAAATGTTTATGGAATACTGCAGCTAATTATAAGAACAGCCCTTTATGCCATTAAATTTTTTCCTTATCGCGTACTCTGAGCGGATAGGAGCGAGACGAGAAAATGTGTAACAAGACTATTTTCCGACACTTCTTGCGGAACTTCGTTCCGACCGGAGATCCGTAGACCCCTTAACGCCGTTTTTTTACTCTCTCTTAATTGAACGTCTTTACAGGTTAGTTCCAATCCAGTCACAAGAAAAAGCAAATAAAACCTGTAACACTTACTACTTTGCCTATAATATATAGTATGTCAATAACATGTTACTGTAATTTACAACACAGTACCTACACGTTACAAATGGCGCCTTGTGCAAAGCACTTGACCTCGTTTATCATAAATAATAAATTACCTGCAATCACTCAACGGTAAAAAGGCTTTGTGTGTACTCTTCGATTTTTAGCAACACCTCACCTTTTATTATTAATTACTCAAGTGGATTTTATCTTAAACCAGCTTTGCTGTCCACGGCTTTGCTCCATGTATTTTTTTTTGTGAATTAATTTTCTACGAAACTCAATTGCTTTTTTTAAATAAAAGCATCCCAAGCTACTTCTTTTTATTAGCAACTCCTGGACTAAACTATCAGATTTATTTCTTTATTAGCACTAGCATTTATTTTTTTAAAAAGATGCGATGACATTACAAAAAACTTGTATAGATGAGATTTACCTATAAATATAAGCTCCATTTTGATAATCATTCAAAATTGATTACGAGGTATCCATTTTTAAAGATGTGAAATAATCTTAAAAGAAAGTATCATCAAATAAACATATCTACTGGGTGCGAAGCTAAAGATGTCAATAAATATAGAACAACTTGTAAAACATTAACTCCTATTGACGCCTATTAAATACTTTGTTATCTGAAACAAAGGACATTCTAGTAATGTCTTTCAATGTCAAAACTTTACTTCACAGAGTTAGAGCATGAGTCGACACTAGGCGGAAGTTTGTCGGGCAATCAACTGATGATCACCGGCAGCAAACACCTACATTGCCCACCTCCAGAAGGATTTGTGCCCGGTGGGTAAACTATTCACGAAACATAATCATCATCTACCTACCGGTATACTATTTTATTTGGGGTTGGCTCAGTATGTCACCTGCTTGATGGTGCAGTGGTAGAGTATTCGACTGCTGTGCTGAAGTGTCGGGTTCGATTTCCGGGTCGGACCAAATGTTTGTATGATCTGCAAATATTTGTTTCGGAGTTTGGGTGGTTTCTATGTATAATATGTATGTATTTACAAAAAAAGGTATATAAGTATTCTATTAAGTACTCCATCTAGCTTTCACGGTACACGTTCTGCTTAGTTTGGAACTAGATTGCGTTATGTGTTATGTCCGTAAAATATGTATGATTCTTACATTCTACTTCATAATTCTTCATTTCACTGTTTACTCCTTCTTAGCCATATCCTCACTCCCACAGTCCATGCACTTTTTGGTCTTGCTCTTCTCTTGTACCCGTCAACTGACATACCTAAGACTTCCTTCACCACATTTTCAACATCCCTCCGCATTACATGTCCATACCACGGTAACCTATTACTACTTAACTTTTCATCCAGTTGCGCTACTTTCAGACCGACATCATATGAGTACTAAATAACAAAGCAATAGCTTATATAAATATCTAATCTTATTAAGTCCCCAGTAGAGTACAAAGTTACATGCACCTCTATTTCTTATTTATTTCCCGCTACATACATGATATAGTTTTTATTTATGAGAATTATTGGTATATGTTACTTTAATATGAAATATTCATTAGTATGGCCACCCGTTAGTAAAGTTGCGATGTCAGCTTCTTTGACGACATCAACAATTCGATCCAGACAATGGTTTTATGATACACGATTGGAAGCTTTTTGTCACACATTTGAAACCAGCACGAAGAACTGGGTAATATTTTGAGTTTCTATTTTACAGAAACGGAAAAGGTTCAAATGAGAACAAGGTCAAACAGCACCGGTAGCGATGGATTACCCATTAGAAGACATCATGCCACAGGTAAATTATCACCGCCATTTTTTATCACCCTCATTACTATCTATTACACATACTTTTTGGATATAGCTTAGGTTCATTACATAGTAACACTAGTTAGTTTTATAGTATAGGCCTATTTAAAGTTGTAAACTTCAGTTGCACTTATCACAAATATAATAGATAAGTAGTCAAACGTTTGATAGTTCTTAGTCATATAAATTTAGTTACATAATATATAGCACGAGTTTTAAGCTCGTTTGGTGGTATGCTGGTTGAAATGATATTTTATAAAGAGATATGTATTGATACAGTTACACGTCAGCTATACAGTTCCTAAAATAACAACACACTATAAGAACTGCGACATCAAAATCAGTTTAAGTGTAATACTAATTAAAAAGTAAAAAGTTTCCTTTTTGCTCACAAAACTCTATTTTCTTAATCACTAGTTTAATGTGAAATCATTTAATAGGAAAGAAGTCATAATTAAATCTTTAGCTTTGGGCTTATTGGTTGGCGTTTCGCTTATTCGCAACTCATTTTAGTTTGAATGCTTCCATATTTAAAACATAATTATATATTGCGTGATGTACTGTCTAAACATTTTTAACAGTCCCAGTACTCCTTAAACTTCTAACTAGGCTATTTTTTAATGTTGATATTGTTTAAAACTCTTACAACATCAAGAGACTAATCTTGAGTGTTTATGTATGCATTTTCTATAATATCTTCTATTTTACTTATACGGTCAATTACGTGATAAACTACGAGTCCACATTAAATGGAGCATTCAAATAGAGAACACATAAAATAGCTTCGGTTGCGGACGCTGACCAATGAGAACGCATTATGTATACGTAGGCGCGCACACATACACACAGCTTGGCGCACCGCGTCTAATAGCACTGTTCCACTGTTCGCCCCAAGATGGCAGTCACGCGAAGCGACGATTGGGGCTGAACAAAGAGCAAATGGAGGCGATGAACCGCGTGTCGCTGGCCGCCGAGGGGCCGGCTCGGCCGACGCAGCTGAGCCTGGCGCCGCCCTCGGCCTCCACATCGGCTTCGGCCTCGGCCGCTACCTCGCCCTCGCCGACGCCTAGCACACCCGCCGACTCAGGTCCGGCTGAGACTCGACCACTTCTTTGAATGCTATCGTCCCCTCCCTTTACCTTTAAAAGCTGAAACACGTTGGCTATTGTAAAAACACATTTGAAAAACGTATCGAAAGATTGCATAATTATGTTATATTAACAATTTTTTATCTAGGACTTTCATCGTCATTTAAAGAGTCATTTAAAGAGTTTGTAATTAGCTATAAAGCAAAGTAATTGGCTGCATTAGTACCCATTTCTACAGAGATAACTTCTAAAATAAGTAATCAAAGTACGATCCGATTGAGTTAAGAAAAATCGGTTCACAATTGACAGAGATATCGTGTAACAAACGTACATTTTTTTTTATTGAAATTGATAATCTCCTTTTTTGTGTTTTTGAAGTCGGTTAAAAATGGAAGTATTGATGAAAGTATCGGACTGAACTAATTGCTTTAATTGGAAATAAAGTTCTTTACCATTCCTGCTCCAACTTTTTACGTCACATTTTTAAAGGAATGGTCATGCTACTTGTGATTTATTAACACAATACTGACTAATATACGTTCGCTCTAATTGTCTTGTTCCATAATATAGCCAATGTGCTTGAGCTGTTGTTGCTTGCTGTGACCTTATTTCCAATGTATTTGACGCCGCATGGCATGTTGAGATGACCTTTTTCTACAAATCTAGTCTAATTTACTTTACTTGACTTACTAGCTAATTAACATTACTTTTATTAAAATAGCAATCGTGCAAGGGAGGAGACGATCCGGCCTAACCTATCTCCTTTACTAAACGTTTGTGAACGAATGCAGTGTGCTTTTAGGTGTGCTACTAATGCTGAACTAACCGTCATGCACATTCTGTGTTTAATTTATTAATTTTAAAAGTTATACCGATATAGCTCAGAACGCGTATTTCATTAAGCGTTCTCCCTTGACAGGTTTTGCTGATGATTTGGTGACTAGAAGACAGAAAAAAGATGCTCAACTCGGTGGTCAGTATAACTTAACTAAATTAATATCTACGTCAAAATATTTGAAAATTATAATATAATATTTTTTTCTGGACATAGGCCTTTCCCATTGCACGCCTGGTCTGCGATAGGCTGGTGATGATGGTGATGATTTTTTTCTTACCCGTTTTTAGAAAAGTTGTCAGGATTAACTCTTTAGATACAAACCAAAATTTGTCTGAAGATGGAGTATGTATTAATTTCTACTCCCATTATCGTAGAAAATATTTTGTAGAAAAACATCGGTCAGATTTTAGCAGCGCTTATTACCGGTATAATCATGAAATACATTATTTAAACTATTGTACCCACCGCCAGCGCCGTGCATAAGAACGAATCTATGGGAGTCGTATGTGACAAACTAGGATTTAATTGATTTTATATTTTACTGAATATGTCCGTAGAGTTCACGAGTATTTGAGTTCTTATTGGGACTCATAAAAAGTACACGAGTTCCTAAAGCATAAAGAGTTTTTGTTGGTCAATGCCCTTTACTCTCGATCTTTGCGTATAAAACTGACAGCAGTGAGTGATGTTCTGATTAGTCCATCAAATAATACTTCGCTATATTAATTAGTTGTATATTGTTTAAAGCAGAAGAAGAACGCGCCATGCGAAGAGTTTCCTACTTGAAAGCCACATGGGGCGATAGATTACACATGGACAGCGACGTCGAGCCTGACGGTGACCCACAAGGTCTTAGAGGGTACGTAAAATTAATTTTCATAAGATATTTACTTTTTAGTAAAAAATATTATCATTTGTTTTTGTCAACATGCTTTGTATGATGTTGTAAATTTATTTTTGTCTAGGTAGTGTTTTTAACACTATGCGATGACGAATACAAGTGAAAATATATTGTTTATTTGTTAGATATGTAGTACCTAGATTCCCAATGTAATTCTATCTGTCATTTTGTCCTGATAACATGTCATATTTGTAATTAAGGCACATATACCTTTTTGTCTCTCTGATAGACAACTATATACTTCCGATCGTCATACGTAGATAGTGAGTAACTATGTCCTATGTTGCTAACATTCTGGGGTGAAAATTGGTGATTTATAAATTGTACTAACGGGGTGAATGTGATTGGGTTGAAACGCAGTGTGCGAAAGTGGCGGCCTCCTCGGCTCAGGGATGACATTACACCGTTGCTGCGGATATTCGACCCGCAGGCTGTGCTCCCCGCGCGGTACGTCGCTGCTCTAATAGATGGCGCTTTAACAATGTGTGCGTTTACACGAATGCGTTTATAGATGGCGCCTCTCGTAGCTAAATTTTAAAATGTAACGGAAATGTTATTTTTTGTATTTAATTTCAAATGAAATTGAACTATTGCATTGCACTGCTTGAATCACTAGCGGTAAGTACTGCAATAAAATCAAATAAAAGCATCAAATAACGCAAAATATACATGATTAAAACGAAGTCATCCATTGTTTGAATTAACTTTTGTTTGGGGGAAGAGCTTTCTGAACAGTTTCGAAACAGGTTGATACCAAATCGTTAATAAGACTCAATATGTAAATTTGCATGTTTGATATTTCAATGTGTGCATGTTCGTTGTAAAGAAAATCTGTTTTATTATTATGTATGAATGTACAAAAATTCAGTGTCTGAATGTACTTACTATAATATTCGGCATGTAAGGGGCTATTAGTACAAGCATTGTTTCCATATATATTTCTGTAAATAAATGTAGAAAAAATACTGATATACACACATCCTAAGGTGAGATATTATTTTATTTATTATAAAAAATAACTCTAGAACACGGTGATCATATAGCATAACTACATGCAATACATTTTTGTAATGCTATTAAATAATTCACAGGCTTGCTATACTTTCTACGTTCATTAAAAAAAAATACGACTAATATTGTATTGTACAGGTCAACGAAGAAAGGTGAGGAAGAAACGTCAGAGAATGCAGTGGAAGCAGCAGAAGGTGATGTTCAAGGCAACGTGCAGATCAAGATGGTGGTCAGTAATGGCAAGGTACAAAACTATTTCGTTATGATGATGTAAAACAAGGATAAATTTTATTTTAAAAATACGCGACATTAAAACAAAAACAATTCTTCATCAAAATCTGGTCAACTTATAATATCCAACAATCTCATCAATATACACATCCAACTTATAATATCCCTCCTTAAATAGCGGTAGGATTGAAAAGCAAATGAAATCTCGATACACAGCCAGGACACTACATAACACTATTTACATGCTAATAATAGAGTATCTTCTTCATCATCTCCATTTCGACGCACTAAAGTCCACTCTTGAGTCTAAATGCGGTAACCGGGACCCACAACCAATACCATTACATCATCTCCTTAAACATCTGATTAAGGAGAAGTACTGATTGGTAGTCCCAAATCTACTGAAAATAGAACTCTCGGACCAAGTGTTTAATAACAAATAAGATAGCTTTAATAAATAATATTATCTCATTTTATCATATTGACATTGTGATCTTTTTGAAACTATTTTGCTTGGGGCATTGCCTTATCTAATCCATAGTTGGTCCATTAGTTACTGTGAGTTCATTTGTACATTACTACGTACTGGTCTTTGGGGATGAAGCATTATTAAAAACAAGGGAAAGTAGGAAATTAGCAGCTCTTTATTAAATGCATATGAGCCGAGAATATTACGGTAAATTAACTATCAGCTTTATAATAAGAACTAATTTCGCCTGCTATATTGAAAGAAAAATGTAAGAAGAATATACGTAGCCCTAAGAGAAGCCGTGATTACAGCTAGTCATACAATATATTATTATGTATAATGTACACTTGTATTATACCTACCAACCCGTCTGGCCAGCGTGGTATAGTAGGCCAAAACCGCCTTTGTAAGGAAAGGGCTATGTCTAGCAGTTGAGTGTCAGGGGCTGTTGATGATCGATGACACTTTTAAACTGATTTACATTGTTTTTGGTGCAGCGCGCGAGCGACAGATCATGGAAGCAAGTGTGGGCGGTGCTGCACGGGACCAAGCTGTACCTGTATCGTCACCATCCTAGTCAGGTATGTCTAACATGTGTGTTATTATGTGAGAAAAAATATTTTTAGTTCAGAAGATTTTTTCATTTATTTATCACATAATACTAAAAATAGCATTCAAACCACTACGGTTTGTAGTGAATGCTACGCTCAGTCGTCTGTGCTCAGTAGTCTACAGTCATATTGTACTTACAAACAGCGACTGTGTACGTTTTAAAAGTAAAACATTAGTCAAGATAGTCTTTTGTTGTCTTTTCTTTGTAATAAATAACAAAATTTTATAGGTTTATCGCTGGCTTTCTATGTTCTGGAGAAAATAAGACTTCAGTTTATTTTTAATATTACTTGGAGTAGTTGTATTTCGCAAATGGAAGAGTAGTTTATTTATTAGTCTAGGAACTAAATACTCGATGTGCTCTCGCGTAAGTGTTGTTAGCTCGACCCATGCAAAGCCGGTTTCAACCGGCCGCCCTCGTATGTATACAGAATGCTGAATTTCTTTCTTTTTTTAAGTTGTAATTAAAGAATTGTCTTTTTAGAATTATATATTTAATTTGTGTATGAATAGGCAGTATATAACAACGTCTGAATAATCCATTTTCGTCGTTTTGAAGTTGGTCTTTAATTTTCTTTGATACAATATTAGTCACGTGTTGTAAGGATAGCGTAAAAATGTGTGGTGAATCGATTCAAACTTTACTGAATTATACTGATAATTTGCACGAGTTAGGTACAGTAGACTCCAAAAATAAGAGCATCAATTTATACTCATCAACCTGAAAATTATTTTGTGAAAAAGTTTTTTAATGTTATGTAGCTTAAATAATGTTTCAGTTTTTTTGTCTTTTATATCTAATTTTTTAGTAATATCCTAATCGTTAATATTTAAAATATATACATATTTACATTATATATTCAGGGTCTAAGGCGAACCCGTCAGAAACAAGCTGCTTCCAGAAAATTCGGTTAGAACTGCAACCCCACCAGAAAACGAATCGCTATTAGAATCGAACTGTATCCGAAATGGTAGATTAGGTTATAAAAGTTTCTCAAATTGTTACTAAAATAATAATATTTTAAGGTAAACTATTTGCTGTGCAATCAGTATTTTTGATTAGGATTGGGATTTTTTTATACAAAAAAGAAAGATTTTTTGATTTGCAGTTAAATACTACTCAAATATAGATATTATTTATTATTATCAACAACTTCCTACATTGTTCTTCACTTCGTGAAGAAATTGAAATAAATTTAACCTATACCTTACTTATTTCTAAATACGTCTTGTCAACTACTTTGACTGTACTTTCAAGCTAACGATACTAGGGGGCCAGTTGGCATATTTAAAATGTAAGGGTCAAGATTTAGGGGGCGAATAGACCATAGACCGAATATTCAAATAAAAAAAGTTTGTAGCTACTCATCGAAGAATCTTATCAACCATATGCTAGCTTACATTCTTTGTAATAGAATATGTAAACAAAACACAACGTTATCATCCACCATAACTAGCAAAAACATCTTAATGCATTTCTAAAAAACTTTCCGGTTACTTAACTTAAAAGCTACGAAAATCCTTCTACGGCCTAAGCACACAAAGAGCGGAAGCTTACTTTCAGGAAGATTTTGTTTACCAACGACCTTAACTTCTGCGAACATGACGTATATGTTTTCAAGCCCTTCGGTCGGCCGAGAATCTAGGTATGCACGTGTACTACAGGGTTGTCAAAATATCCATATTAAATGTACTAGTCCCATTTAAAATAAAATTTCATTACAGATTATTTATCTATAATATGTATGTATTTAGTATGGAATATAATGTAAGTATATCAAACTTCTGGTTATCATAGCGCAGACTCTGCCTAACTTGCGATCAAAAGACCGTCCGTGTGTGGGATATGTCAAGTTATTATTATTATTTAAGAAATTGATATCGCCATTGCAGTAAAAACATTTTTAAAGCATTAAATGACTAATGCTTAAAAAATCCTTTTGGCATCAGTTAAGAATATTTTTGTTTATACTGTTAGGTTAGGTTAGGTTAATTTAATTCCCAGAGGATATTGGCGGTCAGAGCCATACGTGGATACCGCACGGTGTCCACCGAGGCGGCTTGCGCCTTGGCCGGAACACCCCCGTGGGATTTGGAGGCGGAAGTGCTCGCCGAAGTTTATCGGCGAGTGGCTGACTTCCGGGCGGAGAGCGGATTTCGCCCTCCGCCCGAGGACGTGCGCGAGTGGCGCGAAGCCGCTCGCCGAGCCACCATGGTCAGATGGTCGTTCCGGCTGGAGACTCCACGCGCTGGCTTCGCCGCCGTGGAGGCTCTCCAGCCGGTCATAGCCGAGTGGGCAGGGCGGCAGCACGGGGCCCTTTCCTTCCGGCTGACGCAGGTGCTTTCCGGGCACGGTTGCTTCGGAAAGTACCTGCACTCGGTCGCTAGGAGGGAACTGAGTCCCGCCTGCCACCACTGCGACTGCAGTGAGGACTCGGCCCAGCACACGCTGGCGGTCTGCCCGGCATGGGCGACGCAGCGCCGGGCCCTCACTGCAGTCATCGGAGCAGATCTCTCGCTACCGGCCGTAATTCGCTCCATGGCCGGTAGCGACAGTTGTTTTACCGCGGTCGCAACCTTCTGCGAGGAGGTAATCTCGCAGAAGGAGGCGGCGGAGAAGGTCCGGGAGGACGACCTCCACTCGGACCTGATCCGCCGCCGGCGAACCGGGCGGCGGAGGCGCGCTTACCTGCGCCTCATGCCGCCCTGAGTGTGGCCGTGGGTGGACGGGGTGGGTTTCCCCTCCACCCGCATTAGTTGGCCAGCCGCGAGGGGGCGGCGTCCGCGTGTGCCGGACGTCGCCTAAAGAGAGGAAAATTTTGAGACGGGGCCCGCAATAGGCGCGGGCCGGCGCTAGGAGGGGTCCAGAAGGCGATAACTACCTGGACCCCTCCTAAACTGGAAGCGCAAAGAGGGCACACCGTGTGGTTTTAGTCGGTTCGAGTCCGACACACCACCCCGCCGCAAACCCCGGTAGGGTGACGGTCCGAGGGGATTTCCACACGTTAAAAAAAAAAAAAAAAAAAAAAAGGTTAATTTAATTATTTTAAAAAAAATACCGCGATCGTTTTTAAGTATATTTACAATACTATGTCGTGTTGTTAGGTTTATAGGTTTGTTATATTTGCCATTGGAGTGTAAATCATAATTGCGAAGTTCATGTTGTGTACATTACCTACTGCGAAAGTTTAGTATCGAGAAATCCGTTGCTACGCAAATTCTTTACTGCGATGTAGGTTACTATGAAAGTTCTTTACTGCGATTATTGTAGTATCAGCCACTAGGTCATGTAGGAGAGTTGCTGATACTGGTGATAGTGGAAATATTATATTGTTGGACATGACTAAATGAAGCTTCGTTCGATCAACGGTTTTTTGTTCTGAGTCCGGGTTTTCTCTGTGCCCGTTCGATGGATGTATGTGAAGTCCCCCGCGACAGAACATATATTGCTAATGCGGGATTTGTTTTAAGTAAAAAAAAAAAATTTTGAATTCACGTGATTACTATCAATTTTGTAGTGTAAGTAGGTACTAGCCGGCAGAGAGACAACTATAGTTTTTGAAGTGAACTTTTTATGAGAGGGTAAACTGCTTCATAACGTAACGCGTTACGGCGCCAATCTGTCTGGCTTCCCTTTCTGTCACTCTAATCCACAGCGCTAGCCGTATTTCGGACAGACGCTTTACATAAAATTTCGGTAATAACCTAAGCTTTTCTCAAGTTAAACAATTTCAATATTAAACATTTCAACTTGATTAGTTTCAGTTATCACTTCTGTCGGGCGTCCCGAGACGCATAAGTTTTTTTTTAATGTATTATTTATGTAAATTAAGTATCCTAATTTTGCTTTTGTAAATTTTATTATAATTATATTTTAGATCGATTATATTTAAGTTTGCTTACAATTTGTCCAACAATATAACATTTCCCCTTTCAACAACATCAGCAACCCTCCTACATGACCTAATGATCGAAACTGCAGTCATCGCAGTAAAGAACTTTCGCGATAACGTATATCGCAAAGGTAAAGTTTCGCAGTAACCTACATCGCAGTAAAGAACTTTCGGGACAACGAACGTCGCGATAGTAAACTTTCGCAGTAACGCATAGCGGTGATGAACTTCGCAGCTATAATTTACACTTGCTATTATTTAGATAATTTTAATCACATCAACATAGAAATGTGAGTAAATTTTTTGGCCTTTACTGTGCTTGCGATGTTTAAATTTAATAACGTTCTTGGATAAAGGTTATTTACTTCAACTTTTCGAGACGCAGTCGCTGTAATATTTATTCTGGAAGCAAATATAACTAGTTTGGATTGAAAACAATTGCGTGACGTAATAGTACATCACTTTACCACCCCTACTCCTACAATAATATTTTATCGCACCGTAACACAATAAGTCGTTAAGTCCATTTATTTATAAGATTTGGCGCGTAATATCTTGTTTTATATTACAATGTTAGCTTTTACTAAGTATATACTACTCATATATAAATAATAATATGTAAGCAACCCTCTCACACTAATTACAGGTTGCTAAAATTAAAATTTAACCAAAAAAAATTATTTTTGATGAGCTGAACTGAACTTTCCTTAAACATAAGGATGAAAAAATTATTTTATTTTCATTTTAATTTTCTCAAAAAAAAACTATAAAATCAGAAACCCTGAAAAGTACAGTGCTCATGCAGGTAGTACAAAAAGTGTAAAAGATAGTTTGTGTCGCTACCTTAATTGTTTTTATAAACACGTAGAAATGACCTAAACATGTCAGACATAAAGACTGCTATCTAGTAAAATCGTTACTATGTAAATATAGTATAATTTAACTAAGTTTCATTACTTTTGGTGACTATATCTAAATTTTTTAAAAGAAAGTTCTTTAATTACTAACATGACACATAAGTAGTTTTACAGTAGTAGCACAAAATATTGTTGATGTCTTTGAGTGATAGCCC